CTGTGAAATTTGGGGGGTAGATTAGATGGCCTTGGAGGTCCCTTCTAGCTCTATCTATATTCTGAACCCCCAGGAGTTCAGCCATCCAGTCTCCTCTCAGAAACTCCTGGTGAGGGAGGGAAGTGGTGTGATGCCATGGTGACCCCCCCTGGATCTGGAGTCAGAGGATGTTGGTTGGCATCCTGGCTCTCTGCTTACTTGCAGTATTAGCAGTAGTAGTAGTAGGAGCAGTAGCAGCAGCACCACTAGTAGTAAGTAGCAGCAGTAGCACTAAGTCTACTCTGCCTCTTGATCAGGAAAGGGCTTTTTAACCCTGTAGGAATGGGAGCTAAGGAACCGGACCGAACCAGGTTCATAGACCCAGAGATGGAGGAATCTCAGGGGATCTCAGGGGTCATTGAGTCCATTTTATTGTTGATGAAACTGAGAAGTAAAGAGACTTGCATAGGATCACACAGCTCTGAAGGGTTGAAGGCAGAACTCGAACCCAGGGCTTCCTGACTCCAAGTCCAGTGCTGTGTCTACTAGGACCCTTGGTCTCTCTTCTCAATGCGAGAAACAATAATCTTTATCTCTCTTTCTGGAGACTACCTTAAGATGAGTCTGAGAAACAAGCCCTCTTGAAACACAATACTTTTTTCCCCCCCATTTTTCACACTTGGGTTTTTTTACAGTCAGGTCAGCACAAGAGGAGTCATTTTCTGCCCTTGGGAGGCATTAAGCCAAGTGCCCTGGCTGCTTTCCTTTCTGGCCAAAGACAATTGGGCCATTCTAGTCCAAATCCCATCATATAAATGCTGCGTTCAAGCCTGTGGTCAGCACCTTCTCCATTGCCCTATATACTAGCAAGGAGCTTTATCTCAGACTTGACAATGAAAAACTGGAAGAAAAGAGCCTTAAAACCAATATCCCCACAGGCTTTTTCCTTTGTGACACAGTATCCAGACTTCGGCTGGCCCTGAGACATTGCAGCATGGGCAGGAGAGTCCCCAAGAGGATCATGGGAAGGGGCTAAACACGGAACAGAAGAGCACCTGCAGTAGAAGGTGCCCTTATAGAGATGCCCACCTGGGCTTCGGGGTGGCAGGTGACCAGCCAGAGAGCTCTACTCTGACCCTTGGCACATCAACAGATAGCAAGGAAGGCCTCTACCACGTTGGTAGACCTCCTGTGGCAAGGTTATAGAAGGGCACAGATCAAAATCAGGCCACCTGGCTTGGGTGGCCTCAGAATATGCAGGGCCTCCTGCCCGAGCTCTGAAGTGAGTCTGGGCTCTTGGGAGCTGCGCCAGTGAAAGGCAGTAAGCAAGCTCTTCTAAAGCTAGTGGGGAGGGCACAGCCCAGCTGAAATTCAAAAGTCTCTTTCCCCAAGAACTCATAAAACTATCTCAGGCCTGGAAAGGCAGGCACCTCCCTCAGTAGGAGGATTGCCTGGCTGGCCTTCTGGCCAGAAGGAAGCACCCAGCGGAGGAAACTGAGGCCCTGACAGGAACCTTTTGTCTTATCTAATGTCCCCCTGGGGCAGCAGAGTCAACCCTAGTCCTGCCCCTCCCTCACAGAATCTCTGTTAATCCCAAAGTCTGCCTTTTCCCAACAAAAGCATGAGTAATTTCACTACTGCACCAGCTCTCTCAGGACAAGGAGTTACAAGCATTACAGGCAGGTGAACACAAATAAGAAGTTGGATAACTTGACCGAGAGCTAAGGGAGCCAGCAGCCAAGATAAGCCAAGTACAAAAACGAAATGGGCTCCACACAGTTTTGAACCCAGAATTTATCAACCAAACCCCAGGCAGGCAGGCAGTGAGCCCGAAAAGACGTTTCAAAGAAGTCATGAAGGCTTTCAATATCCCTGGCCCTATGTCACCAGAAGCATTTCCTTCTTGAAGCAGATGAGGAGAGGGAATGTCCTGGCCATCACTGGCCTCCATTCCGTGCCCACTACCCTTTAGGGAAAGTTTCTTGCACACCATAGGCATTGGTCAGCCCAATGACCTCGGCTCACGTGGTTCAGAAAGGCATGCACTCACAGGCTGCTCTCTTTAAATAACTGGTTCCCTTCTACTGTATCTTGGCAACTTGTCACTGAAACGTGATTATCTCATAACTACAGGCTGCTTCAGTTACAAATTGTGGCCTTCGAGCTGGTACTTCACCTAGCACTAAGAATTCAAAGGCAAATAAGCATTCTGTTCAATTTTCCTGACCTTTCCATAGAGACCTTTTGTCCTTGCAGTCTCAGACCGGGGGTCAGGCAGGGTTTGCTTTGCCAAGACTGGTTGTTCAGTGTGACACCTGTCCCAAGGATTACTGATGACCTCTAAATTCTAAGTGGAGGCAAGTAGGTCAGAAGAGGGATCTTCACCTTCCTGATTTATATTCTGTTTGGAAGTTCCCAAAGCTTTGCACATTAACAGCAGCTAGGCATTGTGTTGAGTTCCAGGAACCTGCAGGGCCACTTTCAGGAGTGGGTGTCCTCTATTTCCCAACATGACTAGACAGGACAGGGAGAGTCCAGGTAGTGTCCAGCCACAGGGTCAGCCTATGTGGAAAGAGGACTGAACCGGAAGGGACAGAGCTTGGGTTTGAATTCTGACTTGGGACCCTGGAGCATCAATTGCACTGGTGGCTGGTCTGTGTCCAGCCCAGCCCAGCCAGCCTGCCCAAGCCAAGAGAAACCTGAGGCAGAAATCCTTTTCAGCTACTCTTGCCCCGGGCATATTGGTCATGGGCATACAAACCCAGACAGTATGATGGTGTCTCTGTGTGAGGTGTATGTACATCATCTCATTGGATACTCCTTCCTGGGATGGACTTGGCTGGGGTGGGGGGGAGGAAAGGTGGGGAGGCACCACAGGGTAGGAACAAGCCCAAGCAGAGGGGCTGCTTACACAACACTTTGTGAACCCTCCCAGGCCCAACACCTAGCAAAATGCCCAGCCCACATGGGCTGCCACTGATTAATTTACTGAATTCTGCACTGTTTTGTGATCCAGATAATTTTTAGTCAAGTCAAAAAAGAAAAATGCCTTATCCCCAAGAAGTCAGGAGACATTTCAAAGGAACAGAGTCAAGAGCGTAAGAACTATGAAAAGAGATCAAGGTCAGAGAGCTGGCTCCCTCACCGCAGACCCTCAGCAGGTCCAATCAATAAGGAATACTCCGTTTATTTCCTAGAAAATAAGCTGTTTTTTTAAAAAGATCCTCTTCAGAGAAAGGGCACTGTGTCAATTCAACATCAAAGGGCTGGAAAGATCAGATGAGGACCCCCAGTGGGTGGGGTAGGTAGCATCCTCCTGGTGGGTAGGCTTATTCTGTATTAAAATTAAATTAAAACTTTGCAATATATATATGCATCAAACTGGTAACTAATTGCAGTTTGCTGACTAAATAATCAGCATAAGCTGCCACTGTAGCCACCAATGTGGCTGCCATACCACCACCAGCAGCAGCAGTAAAGATTATTAGATAAGCCTCTCATTAGCACCTCCATTTCTACAATCTTGGTTGCTGTGATATATATACCCTTTGATGGAAACATTTACTAGGAGTACTAACCTCTCTAATGAGCTCAAAGATTCCCAAAGGGCCTTCTTCCCAAAGGCCCTGGGAGTGCAAACTGAATTTTCATTTCACAGAGGGGAAGTGACCAGCCCAAGGTCACACAGCTAACTGAGCACCAGAGCACCAAGACCAGAGCTCTTTCCACTCCATCATCACTAACAGCACTACAGGAGGCAACCCCAAAAGCAAAGCCCTTTGGGCCCCGGGTACAGGCCTCACAGGCAGGTCCTGATGTCCGATGGTGGTGGAGGGTGTCTCAGCCTTACGACAGCCTCTCTCCCTGAGCTGCAGGTGGTGCTTACGAAGAGAAGGCTTCGAGGGCCCTCATCCCAGCAGGCTGGGCTTTCTCTCCCTTTTAAATACCATGGACACAGCAAGGGGTGAGCCAAAATCCCTAGCCCATTCCTCCCTGATTAAGGCGTTTTATCACCCAAGAAAAAGTTTAGGACTAGAAGCCAACAGCCTTGTTTTGTTTTGTTTGCTTTTGGAGACTGATTGTAAAATTTGGAGAATTTAACCTTGGGCCATTCGTATACTGCCCTCAGGACCCAACGACTTTTCCCATGGGAGACTTTTACCCATACTCTGTGCCTCAAGGCTCATAAAGCTCCTTCTCACAGTCCGAAGAGATGCCTTTTTTTTGTTTGTTTTTAGGCAATTGGGGTTAAGTGACATGCGCAGAGTCACACAGCTAGTAAGTGTCAAGTGTTTGGTCTGAGGCCGAATTGGAACTCAGGTCCTCCTGACTTCAGGGCCGGTGCTCTATCCACTGCGCCACTTAGCTGCTCCTGAGATGCCTTTTCTTAAGTGTTATTCCACATTTGGGGGCCAAGGGGGAGGAAAACCTCTTTTCTCTCCTCAATTCACTTTAAGAACACAATCTGATGGAACCCAAAGCTGTCTGGAATCGTTTCCTTCCCTCCCCTCTTTACTGGTTGGTGCCTTTCCTGGGGGCTGCCTTCTATCTGCACAGTGTAGTCCGGCGTATAGCCAGTAACTCTCGAGTCCCCGAGGGTAGAGAGGCACTTTCTGCCTTTCTCTGTTAAGCCCCAGCACTTAGCCTAGAGCCTGGTACTAAGTACACTCATCTTTATCTGAAGGCCAGCTCTTCTCTCTGGCTGCTCAGCCAGTTACTACCAAAGGCGTTCAAAGCAACGTCTTACAGGAAAGAGAAACCCAGAACTTTGTTTCACAAAGAAATGTACAAGTGGCTCCGAGTTCTAAGCACCAGAAACACTGGAAAGTGTATCACAGAATAACGACCCTCCACCCCCCCCAGCAACAATGTTACCCCAAAGAACTCGAACAGCTAACAAAACAAAGTGAAGCTCCCCGAAGCCCCAGGCCCAGCCCCCACAGCTACCGAGATCACCGCAGGCCTCCGAGAGGGCAAAGCTCGGGCTTTCACAGCACTGGGCAAGCAGCCTCCCTCTTTACCTGGCAGGGCACCGTCTGGGCTCAGGGCTGTTTCTGCCACTGAGGGCTCTCTGGGAGGCAGGGGAGAGCGAGCTCTTAACTGAAGCCTTGACAGGAAGCGAAGGGGGAGGAAGGGATTACGAGATGTTTTCTGGAACCCCCCACCCCAACTCAGCAGCACTTTGGGAGAAGACAGTCACTCTGCCCCTGGCCAGGCTCGGTGCGCAGACAGTGGGGCACTGGGGACCCACGGGGGCAGCCAGCCTCCATCTTCCTCACGAATGGGTTTCCAGCTGCCCTAGCCACAACACAGCTCTCTCCCTAGACTCGGCACCCGGCTCCAAGATGGCAAAGCCAGGATACGTTCTGCTCGTTGAGTCCCTCGCCGCTCAGCGCACACTTGCTATGTCTACTGTCACCCCAAGAGTCTGGGAAACCCTGGCTCCCACCTCCTCCCTCCTTCCCTCTCACCACAGTGGAGAAACAAGGCCCAGTTAAAAGGCAACGGAAGCCCCAGAATAAGACGGGGGCGGGGCGGGGGCGGGGGCGGGGATGGGCCCTCAGGCCAGCTCCTCTGACTCCAACTCCGCAGTATCAGGCAGCCTACCCCCAGGGATTGCCAGGACGGTCCATGCAAAGATGCAGGGAGGAGGGGGCCTCAGAAACTCTTCTGGCTAAGACCTGTTGAACGAGGCAAACTTGGCAATAGTAAAGTCTCCAAGACAATGGAGCTAAATAGATCAGAGGTGGGGAAAAAGTGGGAGAAGTCCCTACCCCCGGCGGAAGCTGGCATCCAAGCGTGCGACCCACCAGCAGCCCTGGGAAGACAGAGCCGAGAGCCGAGCCAGCTCCTCTGGCCATCCCAGGCCTCCGATGTCGGAAGGAGCAGAGGAAGAGGTCGCTGAGCAGCAGCAGCGGCGGCTCCGTCCATGCTGGTGCGGGGGCGATAGACCTCCCTTTCTTGTCCCGCGGTCCCTCGAACCCCTGAAAGGTCCTCGCCTTAGCCCAGCAGAGAGGGTGCCCCGCCCGGCCGGGCGCTCGCCTCGCTCTAGAGCATTCTTGACTACCCGGAGGCTCCCTTCCAGGAGATGGGCCATCCGCCGGTTTCCAACAAGCCGTGACAACAGTCCCACTGGCGGTCGGGGGCTCACTTTAGCCTGGCCCAGTGGCCCTTTCTGGGGGTTTCCACGGGTTCACCCTGCCTCCTGGAGGTGGTCTCGGGGTACTGCGGCCCGACCCGCGCCGGCCTGGTGGGTCTAGAGCAGTGGCACCCCAAACCTCTGGGAGCGGGGCGGGACCCCCTGCCCCAGCCGGAAGCGGCTGCCTGACTCGGGTGGCCAGTTCCCCGGCTCCCCCCAGGTCCGGAGACTTCCCGGGAAAGATCACAAGTGCCAAGTCCAGAGCCAAGTCTCGTGCCCGGGCCCCAGAGGCCTCCTCGACCCCTGGAGCCGCAGCGCCCGAAGAGGGAGGCTCGGCCACCCGGGCATGGGGGGTGGGAGGCGGCCTTTACGCTGTCCTCGTTCCCCGGGCACTGGCCCTGCCTGTGCCCCTGTCCCCCGGCACCGGCCCCGCGTGTGTCCCCAGTGCCCGCTCGCGCTCTTACCCGGCGGAGGCCCTCCGAGTTGAGACGAGCCGAGCCCGGGAGGGAGGAGGTGCCCATCGGTGCCCGCTCCCGCGCTAGGCGTCCCGTACCTCCGCGTGTCGCGTCCCTCGTGAAGCCGCCGCCACTGCTGCCTGCTCGCGGCCCGGGCTCCGGCTCCGGCTCCGGCTCGGGCTCGGGCTCAGGCTCCGGCCCGAGTAGGGGGGGAGGGGCCGGAGGCGGAGCGCGCTGACAGCCGGGCACGGGCAGTAGGGGCCGCGCGCGGGGAGGCCTAGGCAGTCTCGGCCTCTCCCCCAAGCGGAGCATGCGCCCAGCGCCCCACCCCCACTCCTCCCCCACCCCTCCCGCAGACACCTGTTGCCGCGGAGGGTAAGGGGGGTCCGAACTTGACAGATGTGTGTGGGCGGGGAAGGGGGCGGGGGGGACGATCAGGCTCTGCCCCGCGCGTCCTGTCTCTACGGCCATCCTACCAGGGTGAACCTGGGCAAGTCATTTCCCTGCTCTGCCTCAGTTTCTTCATCTGTCAAATGGGATTGATTGTCCCTCATGTAGGGGATCCCCCCACCCCCCACCGAAGAGACAGTCGGTGAATGCACTTTGGAAGCATCCAAAGGATGGAGTCATCGATCTGGATTTGGAAGTTGGAGTTGGAAGGGGGTCTTAGCCAATCCTTCATGTTACAGGGGAGGAAACTGAGGCCCAGAGGGGTGACCAGACGTGCCCGAAGGGTGAGGAGGACCTCTATACTTCGGGCAGCTGGCGCCGGGAATGAGGGCTCCCTTCAGAGGCAGTAGATGCTGGGCCTGCCTCGGAAATCTACATAGACTTAGGGGCTGTGGGACCCTGGGCAAATCACCTCTCTAAGGTTGCCGAGATACAGAGCAGGGGCTCATCTGCATCGGGAAGGGAGTTTCATCCTCGGGACCTTCCTCTGCTCCAGATAACCCCTCCCCCTACAGTCCCTAGTTCGTCCCCCAAGCCCACCCTTACTCTACCAACCCATTCCCTCTTCCCACCCCGACCTCAAGCTGTCCCCGCTCCTTCAGCCGGCTCCCTCTCTTCTCTTCCCTTTCTTCTTTCCCCATCCTTCTCTCTCCTCTCAGTCCTTCCCATTCATACGTCCTTTCTCTCCTCTCTTTCCTCTTCCCCCCTTATCCTTCTGTCCTCTCTCTCATAGTCCCCCATCCTTCCCCTCGCCGTCTGCGGGCCTCCTCCGGGCTGAAAGGGAGAGGGGAGGGCCGGGGAGACACACCTCCCTGAATCTGGCCTTAGGATTGGCCGTGGTGCTGGGGCTGGCATTCGGCTAGGCTGAGAGGTGGGGTGGGACCCAGACTGGGGAGCCTGAAGTCGAATCACGCGGACCCTGGCCCAGGGGGAAGGGCAGGCGCCCTGAGCGGGGTTCTGGGGGTGCCCTTGGGCTCCGGATTGCTCTCCAAGTTCAGTTGGCCCTGCCTGCCTCTCTCTCGCCTACTCTGTGCCTCGGTTTTGTGGCTCTCGCGCTTCTGACCCCTGGAAGAGCGACCATGCTGGATCAGTGGGAGGGAGAGGACCCACTTCCAACTGGAGCCGCTTCCCCGTGCCCGTCCCGCTTCCCCTCTGAGAGCTGAGCTGAACCTCTCCCTTCTATCATCACACTCTGACTCCCCCTAGGATGAGGGCGGCACCACGGGGTGGAGGGTCCCCGTCGCCTTTGGGTCCTGCGACTTGTAAGGTCCCAGCCCAGTCTGGACCTGGCACTCTAAGACAAGAGCCAAGGAGGTCCGAACCGGCGTGTGAAGAGGCCTCGGGGGAGGGGGAGCCCAGCGATTTCCGAGAGCCCGGGCCTGAAGCTTTCTCGGCTGCGTTCCAGCCGGGCGACCTTGGACTTCAGCTATTAGTCAAGAATCGTTCACATTTACAAAGTCATTGGTTACCGAAGATTTCCTCCCCAACAGCCCAGTATGGGAGTTTGTGCAAGCCTGTATAAGGACCCCTGTGCAAGACTGCTTACAGGTCCCATTTTACAAGTGAGGAAACCGAGGGTCAGAGAGGAGAAATTTCATGCCCAAGGTCTCACACTGCTAGTATTAAGTGGCCGCACTGGGACTTGAAGTCAGGCGCCAACCCAGAGCTCTTTCCACGAGACCGGCTTCGGCCTGTGAGCCGCTCCTGCCTCCCTCTCTTGGCCTCGGTTTCCTCACCTGGGAAGTGAGCTCGGTGAGGCTTAAGCTGTGGCCAAGGTCCTGCCAGGGTGACTGACCAGTCGATGATTTGCCTACTACTCGACTGCCATCTAGGACTGGGTACAAGGAGGGGGAGGGCCCGGGAAGTGTGGGAAAAGGGGACGCGGAGTGGGACGAGGCTGACAGGGTGTCCAGAAGGCCCGGGCTACAAACCGGAGGGAGAAAGGGGGGTGAAGGGCACCAGGGGAGAGAGCCAAGAAGAGTGAAGGGCATTGCAACGAAGCAGGTGCCAGGGACGGTAGGCAGGGGTGGTGAGCGGGTGGACATCGATCACAGAGCCCGCCCCTGACTGCCCTGGGGCCTCGTGGCCTTCAGTCCTGGAAACAGTCAGTTCCCAGCCCCAGCTGCTTAGAACTCAAGGTAGCGGAGAGCGGAGGGGCCGGCGCTGCCTCTGGGCTGCGGGTGAGCTGAACCCCAGCCAGAGGAGGGGGAGGGAAAGGTTGCCCTCCATCCAATGGGAGGAGGAGAGCAGCCGTCCGTCCCCTCCCCCCCCCCAGCGCTCTGGCCCACTGCTGCTGCACCGCCCAGTTCGCTCTCTCACCCGGGAAGCCACGAGCTGTGTGTCAGCATAGGACGCTAAATGCCCATCAATGTGTGGCATTCTTTGTGGAATGAGCTGTGAGCTAATTGTCCTTTCCTTGCCTTCCCCTGCTTTCCCTCTTCTTCCCCCTCCTTTCCCCTACTTCCTCCTCTCCATTTCCCTTCCTTCCCCCTCCTTCCCCTGCTTTCCCTCACCTTTCCAGTTCTTCCCACTCCTTTCCCTGCTTCCCCTCTCTTTCCCCATTCTTCCCCCTCCTTCCTCCCTTCCTTCCCCTGTCTTCCCCTCTTTCCTTCTTCCCTCCATCCCCTTCGATTTGTAGTCACAGGGGGCCTAAAGTGAATGCACAGTTAAGAGCCACCAGTCAGACCACTCAGGGATCAGGGAGTTGAGGATGAGGAGATCAAGGCCCACCTGGGGAGTGGGAGCAGGAGCAAGGCCTGTGGAGGGGAGAAGGGGCAAGCTGTGGCTTTTGTAAAAGAGATTGTGGTGCCTCAGTGCCCCCAAACTTAGACCTGTCTGCTGCTCACTTCCCTCTGGAATGAGGAACTTAGTTTTTATCTCCTCAGCTCCCCTCCCCTCCCCAGCAGCCCTGGGGGCAGGAGGCCAGGTCCAGAAATGATTGCTATTTTGCTGAGAAACTGAGGCCTAGAGAATTGACCCAGGGCCCCACAGTTAATCATTAGTAGCGAACCTGGGGGCTCAGGGCAGGCTGTTTAACTGCCTCTATCAAGTGGCTGCAGCTGTCAGTCCTCCGTCACTTATTAAGTGCCTACTGTGTGATAGGCTCTGGGCTAGGAGCTGGGAGTATCCAGGTTGCTGTTTGTTCTATGTTCTGGAAGAGCATCAGGACATCAGGAAGGTGATGCCATGACTTACAAGTGAATTGGATTGGAGTAAGAGAGGACTGTGCAGTCACCAGCCTCACTTTCTCCTCCGGAGCCACCTAGGTCCAGTGGCAAGATATAGATCGGGAGGACTGGGGGTGGCCTTGAAATACTTAGCCAAGGAACAAAAGTGAAATGGGGAAGATCACAGGTCTCTACATAAACCTAGACAGTGCTTCAGTACACAGCCATGAATAAACCCCAATATGCAGAAGTTTG